CTGTGGCCGGGCCTCAGTTTCCCACTTTGTAAAATAAGGCTCACTCTCGTTTGCTACATGCAGGCCAGGCCACCTGCGGGCCGAGGTGGCGGAAGTGGGAGGAGAAGAGTAAGCATGAAGGCTCCGTCCATCGAAAGTGCAGGGGAAGATCCAGGAATATTAGCAGCCATGGAGGATGCCTCCCGTCACATGGCTTGTCCTCAGCCAGGGACTTTCCCAGCCCATTTCCTTAACAGCATGTCTGTGGGGGGCTCCCCAGTTCCTGAGGCTCTCCTCATCTCCTTGGAAGTCACAGGTAAAGAGTTTTGTACCTCCCCAAGTAATCTGGATGTTGCATCCATACCTGGGCTCCCTTCTTGCTCTCAGACTCTTAAAATATACGAACAAAAAATAAACTCCAAATAAGCAGCCCAAAGATCACAGTTTTTTTGTTTTTTGTTTTTTTTTAAGCGAAGGGCTGAGGGGTCAGGGAGCCCTGTCTTGAGAGCTGACAGGAAGACTGAGGGGAGCAAGATGGACAGTGGGGTGGGGAACAGAGCAGTGAGCTGGGGCTGGGGGTGACTAGAGGTTACTCCTTTACAGAATTGCCCACAGAGGCCTGAGGAGCTGGCTGGGACTGTCCATGGGCCTGCTGCTCCTGGATGGGCGAGAGCCAGGCTAGGGAGGCCCTCTGGGCCTTCTGCCTACAGAACACATTTCTGTGTCTGTGTGTCTTTCCTTCCATTCTTGGCTTTCTGGGAGGTGGAAAAGATTTTTTAATTACTACAGGCCCTTCACTTGGCAAAGCTTTTGACTTGGTGTCCTGTGAAGTCAGAGGAAGTGTCTCTAGTCCTGGGAATGAGGGCGCATGCAGGCGGAGCTCCCCTTTCTAGTCAGCATGAATGGTGGCAAGGTCTGTTGCAGGCACAGATCCTTCAGAGGGCTGCAAACAGTGGCAGAGCTTTGCCTCCAGCAGTGGGGGTCACTTGAGAAGTCATTGCTTGTGGGGGCCCCGTAGGGCCTGGGGTTGACAAGGGGAGGCAGCTTTGGGTGGGGTAGGACAGGATGGACTGTGAGGCTGACCTGTCCATGGAGAGGGCTGGGCAGCTCCTGTCCTTGGGTGGACAAATAGCCTTGGTGAGGAGCCTACACAGGTAGGAGCGACGAGGAGGAGGATGGTCACTGCAGGGGAAGGAATGCAGTTGGAAGCAGACGTGCTCTGGGGGACATGTGTGGGGATAACACGTCAACATTAACTTGGGCTGGGAGGGAGAACTGGGAGACCTTACCTGGCAGCAGCTCCTGGGAACGGTCCTGGACAGTCTGCCTCAGAGTTTGGAATTTACTTAAAACAACTTCTCTCTTGGGCAAGCATGCAAGCATCCCTGAGCTCACTGCCTGGCCCTCAGGCTTGCAGGAGGGGGCTCTAGAGACTGGCTCTGGGTGCGGAAGTCACGCTGGGGTTGTCACATATCTTGGCCTGAGGGACACTCAGGTTATCCTCTGTCCTCAAATTTAAAACTACAGTGAGAGAAGAAGGCAAGAAAATGTTTTCCTGAGGAAGTAACTGACAGGTGGCCAACTTGACTTAGTGGCACTAATCGCAGTTACTAAGAAATGCCAGGGTCTCTCCTTAGGGGGAAGAACAGAGAATTGGCCGAGCTCCCGCCTAGGGAGACAAAACCAGCCGACTGTAGCTCTCTTCCTCACCTCCTCTACCCATTCTCTTAAGTCCAGGACCTGGAAGACTCCTTCATCTCCACCACTACCAGCCTGCAGCCCTTCTCTCTACTATATCCCAATACCCCACCCGGACTCCATGGGGATATGGTACCATTCTGAACTTGGGAAAGCAGGCAAGGGTAGCAGAAGGGAGAACACCTTTTCTCTTCTGCCCAGGACTCAAGGAGTGAGATGCAGACTCCACCTGCAACAGGACTGCGACCCTGCAAATGACTTTGACTTGTAGGGAGGTCTCCTCACCCTCCCAACCATGGGACCAAGTTTGCCCAGTTCTCTTCTCTTTGGAATCCTGTAAGCCACCCAGCAGCTCTCAGCATCTCTGCCCTGTGAGAGGAGAGGAAGGGCCTATAGGAGATGTGGGGGTTGAGGAAAAGGACAGATTTTTGACAACATTGCCTGTCTTTGCTTTTAAACGTATCACATGTGCACCAAGAATCCAAACAGAAAAAAATGGAAAACGAAAAACAAAAAGAGAATTTTTAGGAGCAAGATGGACTGTGGCTCTGGGTGACTTGCTCCTATTTGTCCGTCCCCAAGCAGGCCGTGGGGACTGTGAGCAAAGCACCAGAAACAACCCATCCTCCCCCGGCTGAAGTCACAGCTGCCCCGGACCCCTCCCCTGGAAGAACTGAGGAGAGCTGGGAAACTCGTCTACTTGGTCTCCTCTTTCTTCCTGGCATTTATGTTCCTCTGAGGTGTCTAAAGTTTTCCATATAACAAAAACATGGAGGGAAAAAAAGTCCTGTACCGCCAAAGTAACAATAACATAATAATCATCTGGTAAAAAATAAAAGCTTCAGCAGAATGATGATAACAGTCTTTTTTTTCTTCTGCTTATTCATTGTTTTCCTCTCTAACTGTGCAAAACTTAAAAAATAAATCAAAACACACTCATACACACACTCACACACAGCTCCCATCCAGCAAAGCTGTGATAAATATGTTCATGCCTTTCTCCTCCCCGACCCTTCACATGTGCAAAAATATCTGAGTGGCCAAGGGGCCTCTCAGCCTGCCTCCCACACACATCCTTTCTGGCTTGCCAGGTCCCGAGACTTCGTGGGAGAAAAGAAAATGATCAAGGGTAGAAAAATCCATGCTTCTCCAACTGGTTCTACATTTGCCAAAACCTTTGGTTATTATTTTTTCTTCTTCTTCCAATGCAGTTTCTTCCATTCTTCTCTTCACGTTCATTAGGTTGCTTGTGTCTTTCCCGCCATGAAGCCTGCTCTGGGTTGCCGCAGTCCAGGCCTTGGCAGGTGACCACCCTGATTTCCTATGGATAGGTGACCTCTCCTTCCACCCACCAGCTCTCAGCATAGAAAGCAGGTGTTGAAACGTCCTGAAGCTACAGGATGAATTGATGAGCAAGGGGGACAAGAAACACTTCAGAATCCTCCTACACAGGACAAGAAATCTTTTTGAAGAAGAATCTCCAGTGATTCCTGGGGCACGCGTGCACACACACACACGTGCACACACGTGTGTACATGCACATGCGTGCATGCACACACACACACACATATTCCATATTCATAGCCACAGGCGGGAGTGTCCCTAAATGCACAGGATGGATGCTCCGCGGACTCTGTGGTTCCTTCACGAAGCGGGGCTCCTTCTGAGTGGACGACAAGGAATGATGTGAAGGCGACACTGCGTGTGGAACCTCACCTTAGAGGATGAGGTTATCTCCTCCTTATCTCCCACAGTGGTGCACAGCTCCAGGACAGCGCTGCCAGGTGAGGCTCCTGCTTATGGCAGGAGACAGGACCAGATGGCACTGAAGGTCTCTCTGAGGTGACAGGTTTCTATGACCCTCCATGGGATTGTCCCTCATTACAGCCCCTGCTCACCCAGTATACATTGCTGAGCACTCATTTGCCAGCAGGGCTGAACTGGTGCGTCTGTAGATGGAGGGACAGATGAAGAGATGGACGCCAGGCCTAAGGCCAGTTGTATGTCCCTCCTGTTCCCAGCCAGATCCATCAATTCAACTCTTCAGTTCCCCCTAGCTGTGCTGAGCTGGCAACTGAGGCTGGCTGCGCTTCGGTGTGTCTCTGTGAGGCTGTGCTCGAGTGTTTCCTTCAGTGATGACAGCTGAAGGGATGAGGAAGGAGGATGACAGAAGAGACAGCTGAGACAGTGATGAACTCATTCCCGGGGAGGTCTGGACAGTCCAGTGACAAAGTCATCTGCATAGCAATGGCACCAGATCCTGCAGGGGGGACAGGGCCTGGGCTGTTGGCCCAGCTTTCTGAGGAGTTCTCAGGAAGGATGATAGGGACGGAGCCATGGAGATGGCTGGAGGTAGAATCTCCTGGGTGCACCCTGCATTTCACGCTGACCCTTGATGGGGGTGACAAAGGAGGGTGGAGATAGAGGCTTTCTCTAGACAGCACTCAGGGCTCTGGCAATGAACTAGAACTATGATTGTGGTTGTGACTCATTTGAATTTGGGGTAAATGGAAAACAACAAATTCTGCTTCCAGAGTAGATGTAACTCTCTTTCCTTTTTCCCTCTCCTTGTTACATTTATGCCACTAGAAGCCAGATAAGAAGGTTAGGAACATCTCCATGGTGGAATACAAGTGCTATTCTTTCCCCTGCCTGGGGTCTAGTCAGGCAGCTCCCTCTGGACACTTGGAAGGTGACAGGAGGCTTCTGGGTGCCAACCCAGCAGGTGAGAGGCAGCCCCAAGGAGCACCTCCCACCTCCTTACACGACCCTCTGTAGCAGGGGCCTCTCTTCTCCCAGCTGCAAAGCCCCCAGACTACTGATTGACTCCCTGGAGATGGAACTGTGGGCAGGGAGAGTCAAGTGACGTCTTCCTAGTGCAGACAATACTGAGCTCACTGCCTCTTCCCTGGGCCAAGGTTTGGACCAAAGCAAGGGCTCTTGAAATGGAAGGTGAAGTAGCAGCATAGAAATGTACTCTGTCCCTGGCTCCCTGTCACATTTGGGCCCTGCTGATGATGGGTGGGTCAGGAACAGATGAGACAGAGCCCCTCTGACACCCTGTGGTCAGCTCCCTTTCCATGGGCCTGGACATCCCTGGACTAACTGGGAGCCAGTGGCTTGGTCCAGTCACGTCGGCAGAGCAACTGGAAGAGCAGGGATCCAGGCAGGAGGGAGAAACAGAAAGAGGCAGAAAGAGAGAGACAGCGCTGCTCGGGGTGCTGCTGATGCCAGTCGGAACTTGCACTTGGTAAAGATGATAATCTAGACTGAGGCACGGCTTGGTGTGTCCCCCCTCCAGGATGGCCCTGGAAGGACGGTTCTCAGCTGTCTAAGCTCATGAGGGTTATGACTTGTTCTAGTTTGTAGGCAAGTTTCTGCTTCCCACACTGGTCATCATGGTCCAGAGGTCCAAGGATCTGTTGAAGGGCCAAGAGCAGGAGGTTACTAGTTGGTGGGTATATGTCTGTGCTCTTTGGGAGCACATAGACAGTGTGGACATGGTCAATGGCTGGGAAGACACAGGCACATGTGTATGTACACACGACATACGGGTGAGGCCGTGGGCTGGGCAGCATGAATGGGGAGGTGCGCGAGACACTTGGGCATGGGGTGCATGTGGGCACACATGGCAGTGAGCACAGGATGCTGCACACACACCAGTGTGTCTGAGCAATTCTATTGCCTGCAAAGGATGGTGTCTTTGTTGAAGACTCCTGTGCCAAAATGCTATTGCTACCTGCAGGTTCAACAGCACAGAGCGCCATATCTGATGTAAAGGTGTGGTGCTCAGTGACTACTGGGAATGTGCTTTCGTGAATATCGAGACATCCCATCCCACCTTCTGAAAAGGGAAAATCTTCCCCATCAGCTCCTCGAGCAGTGATTTTCAACTGGTGTACCAGTGAGAGGATCTTAGGCGTGTCGTGAAAGAAGTTCAAAGCCCAGTAAGTATACTCCTTTTTTTTTTTTTTATACAACAACATAATTTAAATGTTCTGCAGAAGTTTTACTATAGGTTCAAATGTGCTGTGAGATAAAAAAGATTGAAAAACATTGTCCTAAAGGCCTGAAATTCCACATTTTAGGCAGCCATTTGACTTAACTTTGCCTGTTAAAAAAACAAACTTCCCTAGTAAAAAAAAGTAAGGCTGTAAGCTTTACTGGTCATAAACACCTAATAGGTGGCGTTTGTGAGAGCTTTCTCTGAGACCAGATGCTTCGTGGAGGACTACGACGACGGCAGTTACAGCCCATGATGGAAAATGTGCTGGAATTTGACTCAGGCAACATGAGATTGAATAAAGACTCTGCCGGTTTCTAGCTGAGTGGTCTGGGCCACTGAACCCTGTTTCCCCATCGGCAAAATGGAGCATTAGTGTTACACTAATGCACCTCTGGTGGAAAGAACAGAGTCAGGTGACTTCTGTGAGCACCCTTGGCACCATGGCTGCCCCAGAGAGGGGCAGTGGTAAGTGAGAAGAGGGTGAGGAGGTTAAGAGGAGGGTCATAGCATCAGCCTGGGGGGGCTTCTTGTTTAACCTGGGGCTCCAGACCCTCAGTGGCAAGGCTGTGAAGCACTAGTGCGGGGCACTGGCCTCAGCTCTTCTTACTCCCACTTGAGAGTAAAAAGTTTTGCTGCTGATCACATGTGGGGACTCTGGATTCTAAACCCACTGGTCTAAGCCAGCACAGCCCAAATTGCTCCCATCACCAAGACCATTGTTATTTCCATATACTGGCCAGAAAGAAGGCAGTATGTGTAGTGGCATTGACCCCAGGTGGGGTTTCCAGTTAGGGAACACCACACTGACAACACATCGATTCCATTCTGTTCTGTGCTATCCTGTCTCATTGCTTCATTCCTATTCTATTTGTTTCTGTTTCTACTCTGTTTTATCCAATTTTGTACCATCTCACACCACACCATGCCATTCCATACCAGATGGTCTGCCCAGAGGAATGGGGAGTGGTTGTTTAAAGAAAATTAGATTAGAGACATGGGAAAAATAGAAAAAGGAAGGACTAGTGGGGAGAAAATAAGAATAAAGTGAGAAAGAAATGAAAGAGACTTAGGTTTCTGAGAAGAGGGACTCATGAGTGTTTACAGACCGGAGAGCTCCTAGCATCCCTGCCTTTGCGGCACAGCCCCACGTCCTGGCGTAGAGCAGGTGGAGGTCTGGGGGTGTGTGACCTTGCACATGCAGCCACTCGGGAGTTGTCTGATCTCTGCCCCTTTCCTCCCCGGCAGGACCTGGGCGGGGCGGCACTCACCTCTTCGCTGTACTTGCCCACATAAGAGAAGATCTCCGAGAGCGCGCTCATGGTGTTGAACTCGTTCATGTGCATCCGGGACTGCTCAGCCAGGTATGCGTTCATGTCCTGGTCGCTGATGGCCGGCATCTTCCCGATGTCTGAGTAATACCTGTTGAGAGATGGGAGGAGGAAGAAGGTGGAGTCAGGCATGTAGAGTAGAGAGGAGACATGAAAACTCCCAGGGTTGTGTCTGGGACCACGGCCCAACTTGTACTCCTGCTACTGGCTGCCTGTGCCTTGGCCACCCGGGGACTGCGGTGCTCTTTGTCCCTCCCATCTGGGCCCCTGGGTCTGGCCCAGGAGGAGCCCTCCGTGGTCTGTATATGGGAGGCACAGAGGGTAGGGGTCGGGAGCAGCTGAGGCATTGTCAGAGGATGGGCAGGGCAGGGACCAGGAGTCAAAGGGGCCACACCCTGTGTATCTGCTTTGCTCTCAGCTACTGTGCAGAGTGGTCCAGACTGTCCCATGTCCCCCTAATGCCCCTTCCTGTGCACAGACACAGGGCATCTCCTCCAGCAAGGCCTGAAGCCTCTTCCAAGCGGTGGCTCTTCCCTGATGTCCTCCACTCTCTGGGGGTTAAATGGAACAGGGCGGGGGCTGCTGGGGGGGAAAGACTGGCAGAAGGCAATCCGTCACTGTCACTTGCATCTGTGCACTGCTGTCAACTGGTTAATTAGATGCCAGCATTTACATTTTTAATTTCTACGATTTGACATTTTATGCACCAAACCCCAACTCCCCCGCCGGAGGGGAGCTGTGCAGTTTTCTAATGAGGAAACGAAAGGCCTCAATGCCGCAAAGCCCGCCACCTCTCAGCCTCGCCATGCCCTTACAGGCTCACAGACCGCATGGAGGAGAACAGTCACGGTAAACTCCTGCGGCAGCCCAGCCCAGCTCACCCTGAGTCCCTGTGGCTGCCATGCTGGAGAAAGTGAGCCTGAGAGAACCCAGAATCGGGGAAAGTAGGGGGCGTCTCCAGGACAGGGACACCAAGACACCTGGGCCTTCAGTTTAAGAAGCATTGACTTTCAGGCTGTGCAAGTGCTGTGGACAATGACTGGGTGTTCTCGGAACTCAGGGCTAGACCAGAACCTTCAGAACAGTGCTCCCTGAGCCCAGCCCTATGTCTACCTAGCCACTTCCCTAATTGCTCCAACCAGGGCCCCGACGTCTGCCGGTCCCCACCAGTGGCCAGGGCTTGGGCAAGAGGCTGGGAGATGTGGTATTTCTGTGCTGTCCAGCATCACCTCAAGGGCCTGAGACAACACGACAGCTCAGTTTGCTTCCAGAGCATCGCTGGGCTGGCTGCCCTGCTCTGGGCCGTGACCGTGCTGAGATTGCAGACCTGTCGTTCTGTCCTGAAAACAGGGAGGCAGAGGGAGGGAGATGAAACCTGTACTCTCAGGGAAACGGGAGGGGCTTGTCAGCCCGCTGCTCTGTTGAACTGGTAGCATTTTGGCCAGGCAGGAGGTCTTGGCCCATGACACACTGCTGGGACAGGCACAAGGATAGGGCTAAGTGACGTGGCCTTTCTCAGATGAGGCTACCATGACCCACCATCTCACTGGACTCCATCCTTCACAACCTTCTCCCTTTCCCCTTCTCCTCTTCAGAGCCATTGGGGCCCATTTCTTTGTCCTGTTTCATTTTGGTGCCTCTGTTCCCTTTGAGGCCTGTGATACGCCCCAAAATGCATCCTCAGGGACCCCATACACAGGGCTCTGAGTACTTTCATGATATTCCAGTATAAAAGTTGCAGCGAGAGACTCTATTCATTGCCACTATTTCTAGAATGCAATAAATGCCAATGTTCCATTTTATGGTAGGAAACCTGCGATTTCAGTAGTGGCTCTCAACCTTGCCACTCCCAAGGAGATTTGTGTCATTATTCCCTGGGGGATCCCAGGCCCGCCAAGCAAGATATGTTTGTAAAGGGTTATCGTCACAGATGGCATTGGAGGAAAACACGAATGGATGACCTCGCTCACTCTTGGTCTCATGGCCAGCAGCTGACCATGGAGCTCTGGTAATGTGGCAGGGTCTGAAGCTTCCTTTGTCACCTATAGACAATCAGCTCCTCCAAACAGGATGAAAACCCCAGGTTACCACTGACTGAGAGGGCACAGCTGTCATCAGAAGTAAAGACCCCTGCAGTGCCTGCTGCCTGCCCATGCACCTTCCACAGTGGCTCAGGCAGGCTTTCTACAATCACTGCCAGGGCTCCTGTTGCTGCCCTCATGGTCCCCAAGGTGCACAGGAGCCCAGGCTAGTGCCCACAGAGTCTGCACCCCTGGGAGCTTGTTATCAGCTGCTATTAACCTGAACGTCCATTTCATGCAGGACGCTGCTGGTCAGGCTCTCACAAGGCTGGAGGAGCCTATGTGCTGACATCTGGAGACGGTTTATTCACCTCCAAGGCTACTGTCATAGATGAGTTGGGGAAACTGGACTCCACGGTACCAGTCAAGGCTCTCTGTGCACCCAGTGAAGTGTTGCCCAAGTATAAATTTAGTCTAGAATAAAAATGCTTTGTAGTTATAATCACTTTAAATAGGAAGATACTGTGTAACCTTGTAGCCTGTGAGGAGGAGTCTGTCTGACGTGCGCTGTGATGAGTAATGACACTGCTGATGTTTACTTTTACTGTGAGAATGAAAGGTCACAAAGGGAAAGAGGGGGCAGAGCAGCTCTTTGGGGAGACATCCCTGCTGCCCTCCGGAATTGCTGGCTTTTCTGTAAATAAAAGTGAAACTGTTGATTTCTCATCTGCTTCTCTGTTGATTGGCTTGGGTGACAGGCCGACAGACTCTTTGGTCTGGCAACATACCCAGCTCTCTGTCCCTTCACAATGGCTTGCCTCATGGCAGGATACAAAAGCCCAATCTATCTCCCCAAAGATAATGTTAAGACAGTATGTCTGTGTGAGAGAAGCAGAGTTTGGGGTGGGTGGGGGGCTGAAGGTGGAATGGGGAAGGCAGGGGTTCTGACCTCATCCTAGGGAACAGTGACGTGCCCCTCCTGGATGAATGCTCCTCTCATAGGGAGGTCAGTCTGCAGGGAGCAGCTCCTGTCCTTCTCTTATTGCCTTCACACTGGGACGCTGGAGGGGACCAGTGCCTATCCATGGCCACATGGCCTCATCTTCAGCAAGTTCTTCAATCAGCTGAGCTGAGTGGCCACGGAGACCCAGTGCTGTAATTCTACTCTGTTCCTGACTCCAGCCCTGCCTGATACTGGGTGGTCCCAGCCTCTCTGCAGGCTTTGCTGACACGGCCTTGACCTCTTCTGCTCCCCTCCAGGCTCTGCTCACCCCACCCACCAGCCACCACCCTAGAGCCTGAGAGTGACCCCACGTGGCAGTCCCTCTGCTGCATGTACAACTGCTTCCTTCTCACTCTTACTGTTCTGGCTTCTGCTGTGGGCTCCTCGGCAGAGAGGCTGTATTGATTGTGAAGAATGCAATTAGGCCCCTTAATGAACTTCAAACAAGTGTTCTCATCAGCTGGCTGAGCGGTGAGGAAGGGGAAGGTCAGCTTGGGTCCTGTACTTGAACTTGCTCCTGCTGGATTTCTGCCTGCAGGGCCGTCCATCTTCAAAGGGACTAGTGCTCCCAAAGTCCACCAGGAGACCCCTCATGCTGGCTGGGGCCTGCTGAGGTCCCACCAGTGGCTCTGCTCTCCTTCTGAGTTTGCTCACAGCAGGCAGGTTGCCGGCACCTCTGGGGCCCCAATACCCCAGAGAGCCTCATCCCCCACTGCAGCCAGTCTCTGGTGCCTTATGTTTGTGGACTCCAGTAGGATGGGAGGTGTGGGCGGAAAGCCTGGGCCCAGGGTATGGTGGGGAGCTCTCATGTCCTCCTTGAGGATAGCCCTCTAGTGATTAAGAAGAAGGTCTCCAATGTTTAAAATGGACACAGCCGTGGCTCTCTACCAACATCCTGAAGAGCAAGATATTCTGACTTGATGCTCTGTTGCCCCAAACACTTGCCTTTCAAGCCCCCTGCACAGAAGTCTCTCCTCTGAGCATCTCTGGCTGGTATCCCCAGGTCCAGCAGAATCAGGGACTCCCTCCCTAAGCCCCAATTACCACAGTGTGTGGGACCTGATGTGCACCTGCACCGAGGGTTGGGAGGAGGACCAAGTCCAATTTGTCCCAAGTGCCCCATACACACATGATGGATGCCATAAGTGTTTAACCCATGGATTAATTAATATGTTAATGACCTGTCTATACCTCACCTCTAGTATTGCTCCCAGGGGGAGCTGTCACAGTTTTACATATTTGACTGTATAGTTTCCTTAGAAGACATATTTAAATATTTAAAATTCTTAACCTTTTTCATGCCAAGGCTCGAAATGTGTGCAGTGAAATGTGTGGCCCACCCCCAGCCAGAGCCCCCTGGCCACCAAGGGTCTACTTCATATGTCCTCCCTGGGAAGCCAACAGCGGCCAGTGAGGCCAGTATTGCTGCAGGGCTGACCTTGAAGATCTTCTGAGTTAAAATCAGAGGAAATCACTACCCAATATGCAAATTGACTGCTACTGACCATGACACACTACTTCATGGTGACAACAGCTGAGTTCCGCTCCATCAGATGAGGGTAGAAATTGACTGTTAATGGGAAACTGAGAGACTCTTCTCTCTTTCTCTAGATTTGGCCACAAGCAGAACCTCAAATTCTTGACTAGAGGCAGTGAAGACTGGGGTCCATAGTGGGGCCACAAACCATGAGCACTGCAAGGTATCTGGAGGCAGGAATGGGACGGGAGGATGGTTGAGAGGGTGATGGGAGGAAAGACAAGAAGTGGGAGGGCAGGTGGGAGAATAGATGGGAGAGTGAGAGAACCAATGGACAGTGGATGAGAGGACGTGTAGGAGCACAGGTGGGAGGACACCAGATGGGAGGGGGCAGGAGGCTGGCGGAAGGAAGGATAGACAAAGCATTTCTAGCAGACACAGCTAGCATGGGCGCTAATAGAACCATCCACCGTGGTCAACCAACAGTGTCAATGAGTCTTCCTAAATTTAGTTGCTTTCCTTTTGCTTCCATTCTGAAGGCAGAGCCAGCAGGGCAAGCTCTGTTTCACAGCTGTGATGGTGCAGAAGGCCTTCCCTAAATGTGCACAGGGCAGACTCCACAGCTGAGGGTCCTGGGCAGCTGTCTGCATCCTCACAACTGCAAGGCTGCACTTTCAGAAGTGGGCAAGCCCTGGCTGCAAGGGGCCAGGGCTCCACCATCATTCTCTTCAGCCAGAGGCTGCCTGTGCCTTTGGAAGGGAAAAGTGGGAGATCACTCTCGCTGTGGACCCTGCCGCTTCCAGGCTGCACTTGCCCCTCCAGGCAGCCAGCTGAGCTCTGAGGCCGCTTCCGCCAAGAATCGGAGGAACTTGATCCACTTCTCACTAAGGGAGGAGGCATTCCGGGATTGCCCTCCACACCTGCCCATGTTATTGTACTCTCACCCCACAATGAGAGGAGAAGGGGTTTGGGACCTTGAGCAAGTGAAGGATAACTTCCTTTATAGTACCAGCAGTTGCTAAGAAACTAGTGGGATAAGAAATGGAAATCACCAAACCACCCTCCAAATAACCAAATGGGCAAGGCTTACTTGGGACCTTTGGTGGCTGCATGGCACAAATAGCACTGGGCATGGAGCAAGAGGGAGACCCTGGCCCAGCACGTGTATTCACCTCATCTCTGACTCACCAGCTGTGTCCTAGGGAAGTATCCTCTATACAGATGCTCCACAAAGGTCCTCAGCCGCCCTACCACCCTTGCCTCCTTGCTCCCTGCCTGGGGTGGCATCACAGTGACACAGTATTAGTGCAGGGATAACCCACAGCCCAGCTGCTACCTCCTTCTTTGCTGAAGAGGCGGCTGTCCACACAGGATGGCTTGCTCCTGGCAGCTCTATTGTCAGGAGAATGAGCCACTGTCTACATAGCAGGGGTGAGAGCCTCTCTCGGGGACTCAGACATAATCAGACAGGAGGACAAAAGAGTCAGCTCTCTTCCTGACAGCCAAGGTGGCATGTCCGCCACATACATCAGTAGGAAGGGAGAAGAGGATATCAAAGAATGGAGGAGAGCGAGGGAAAATAAAATTAAACCCTTTTAGTGAAACTACTTCACTTAGGCAGCCAGGACTCCACTCCCTCTTAGATATTCCCTCTGTACAAGGGAAGGCAATTTTTAGCTATAAACATGGAGACCGTCTCTCTGCCGTGGGCAAAATGATACAGTTCATTTTGTCTTCAGTCAGTCAAGAACAATTTTTGGTCTCTTTACTCTTTAAAAAGGCACTGAACCTAAGCCCCCAACTATGATTCCTATCTACTTAAGCTACTTGGAAAAACAAAAGAAAGGGAGTGTAAGTTGAAACGCAAGACTGCCATGTAGAGTTGTGCAGGTTGTTCACTGCACAAGGGTACTTGGAGAAGAGGGTGAGCTGGGGCTGACCTCTAACTCTTCATTCAGCAAACCATGTACCCTGGTGTGGGGTTATACCCTCCCATAGGAAGGGGAACCTCCTTTAGTGCACAGAGGGGCACCCTCACGAATAGTAGGAAAGAGATTTGGGAATCAGCTAAGAGGCTTTGGACCTGGTTTCATCATGGCCACTTACATCATGTTGGGCTGACTACTCAGCCATTCTGTATGCATATGTCTTCACCCTCGTGGGGATAAAAGGTTATAACTCCTGTCCTCTTACATTATAGGGCTACTGTTATGAATAAATAAATAAAATTTCAGATGGTTTCTTAGCTCAGGTACTTGGCATATGACACTGGCATGGCCCACTAGTGTTCCTTACCACGAGTTGGCCCTGCCCAGGAAAAGCCCAGCTCTGACGCTAACAGCCCTCTGGTCATGGGGACACTGAGAGACATTGTGATCTGAGCATGGGCAGGGTGACTGGAACAACACTGCAAGACCCAGGGCATTCAGAGCTCCTTGTGTGAGTGTTCAGGGGCAGGGACAGGGAGAAGCTGTTCAGAGAGGGACAATGACATCCCACACAGTGATGGGAACTGCTGACAGAGTACAGTGGGTGGAGGCCCCCAACCTTTCCATGGCAAGATGCTGTTGGGTTTCCTGGAGTCTTATGATCACAGGTTTTATTTATTTATTTTGCTCTTTCCCTAGAAGGCATTTGCACCCTAGAAGGGATTTCAGCTTCTAAAATCTGGGGCCTGCCCCTGAGGAAGCAGAGCACGTAGCGACCTCTGGCTAGGAGTTCTTGTTCTTGTCTCAACAGACAACACTGGAGGTATGGGGGCTTGGAGGTGCAGCAGCGGAATCGGGGTTTGAGCATAACCAGTCTGGAAACACCAGTCCATTTTTTTTTGGGGGGGGGGAACCTTTCCTGGGGCAAGAGGACTAACTCTGTGCTTTCTGGCTCAGCACTCACCGCTCCACCCAGTTCTTGTAGCTGGGGATGTCCTTGGCATAGAGCAGCTTGTTGGAGGGCGAGTCCTTGCCCAGCCGGTGCTCTGACGTGGAGCAGGAGTCCATGAAGGTCTGCGCCACCACAGACAGGCAGGCGTCCGTGATGCTGTTCTTGTGGATGTCAAACACGAATTGTGGGTTTTTGATCATGTTCACCCAAAACCGCAGGGGCAGGCTGTGTGGACAGAAGCAGAGGATGGTCAGGGAGACGGCATGGTGGGCTGCCACTGGAGGGGGAGAGAAGGCTGGGGAACTAACAGGGCTTAGGAGGCCTCTCTAGGCCAGGGATGGGAGGTAACACCTGTAGGGCTCCAATTTCCTCTAGAAAACCAAGGGTCAGCAAGGATGGATAATTGATCCAGAGACATGCCAGCAGATACCAGAGGGGATGTGATGTCCTGCCTTGACCGCAGGCTCACAGTCTTGTCCCAGCACAGGAGATGGCCACAACATGTTGTGACTCTGTGCTGTCTGCCCCCCTACCTGACGTAGAAGCATCCTGTTGGTAAACTCCAAGTAATCACCTGGACTCTAGGCCTCACCTCTGAGTCTCTGCCACCTACCATGTGACTTGGCAGAAGCCACATGCTTCCTCTCTCCCAGTCCTGTCAGCTTATTCCCAGCAGGAAAGGTCCTGAGGCTAAGTGTTTCCAGGTAGCAAGCTGACTTGTCATCTCTAAGCTGGCACACTTAGAGACCCATGCTCACCTACCACAGCTGCCCCATCAAGTCCCATCCTTCCCCTGCCCGCTTCTTCCTATTAGCACATGCTGCCTACCAGGAACTGTGCTGGCAACTGGGGACATGGTGGTGAATATGACACCCCTCTGTCCTTGCCCTTAAGAAGACTGCATTCTGGTGGGTATGTGGGGAGGACAGACAGGAGACTCAATATATGCTTGGAGAACTGTGGGAGCTAGGTGGGAGAATATGTGGGGTCAACATGGGACCCTGGGAGGCATTGAGTGTTCCCTGAGGGGATCTCAGCGGGGGTGGGGGGGGAGGGGGAAGTAGGGGAAGAGGTGGGCCTGCAGCAGGAGCCAGTCAGCATAAACAGGGACAAAGAGGAAGTCTGTGCTTTGTGTTCTGGGGCTGTGAGTCTGTTGCTAGAAAGCGTCTGGGGCATTGAGAGAACTCCAGCCCAGCCCCATTTGCTGTCCGTCTCCCTGGTAGCCATCCCAGCCCATGACTTCCATCCCCTCCCCTGAGCCTCAGGTGAGGACGGGCTGTGCCAAGTGAGGGATGGCTTCTTTCCTTCCCTCCCTCTGCTCCCGCTTCCCCCGTCCACCATTTCCTCTGGTATCTTATTGCTGTTTGGGTTGTTCCTGCTGTTGATAATAGTTACAATGTGTGTTATGTGTTTTGTTTGCCTCTTAGAACGTAAACTCTGAGTTACATTCTTTCAACAGAGCAGTACAGTATTTCTTGACTTGTTGCATCTTCCAGCAGCCAGTATGGACACACAACTAATGCTGTAACTACAGTGGGACTTGAGATTTAAGACTGCCGATCAATCGCCAAGTATGTGTTTAGTTCCTACAAAATATGCAGCATAGGACCCAGGCTGGCAGCATTGGACCCAGGCCAGCAGCACTGAGATGTGACAGTGTTTAGTGGCACTTGCTTCATCATCGGACATCCAGGAGCGGAGGTAATGGGATGGTGCCCAGGGATAGCTCAGAGAGGCACACACAGGTGAGGATGCAGTTGCTACAGTTGCCCCACCTTCCTAAAGGGGAGATCACGGCAGCTGGGCTCAGGGCCCTGAAGGAAGGACCCATGACTACCCAGTTAATGATGTCTCTGCCCACGTACTCCTGTTTCCAGAAATCCCACCCAAAATAGAGACTCTGGGGGTGCACATCCCATCCACTGGTTGTTTCTCTCCTATACTCCTGTTCCTTAAGACACTTGTGATGATGACAGGCACATGGAACAGGGAAGCCGCTGCACCCACTGGAGACTCCTGACTAATGAAACATTAGCATATTATTAACATTAGTGGTGGCACTAATCTCTGGTTGATTGCAGCCACTCAGGCTAAATGAGCAGGAGGTTTATTTAAAAGAGAAAAGGTAAGGAACTTAGAAGGAGGGGATGGGGAAAGGGTGGGGTATACCTTGAGTCAAGAATAAAAAAACAATCTCTTTTCAATCAGGGACAATTAACTCCAAGTGGATATGCAAATCTCAAGATTCCCAGACTGTCTCTTGCCCAGGGTAGCAAGGATCAAATCAGGGTCAGGGGAAGTGTCCTTGACAGGACAAGAGCACAGCATGGCTGCCTCCTACTTGAGATTTCTTTATGTGGACCGAGAGTTCTTTGTGATGACACCTGAGTCCTTGCAAGACTGGGAGGACTTGCCTTCACCCCTAGGACACGTCTTTGGAAGTGGTCTTACCCAAGCAGGAGAGATGGGCTGAAACAAATGACTTGTATACTATTTTAGGTGACACTTCTACCATGGGCTAGTAAGAGTGTGTAGTAGTGATTCAGAAAGACCCAGCTCTCTTGGCTAGGACCAAGAGAAGGTCTGGGCAGTGCATTGCTTATATCACAAAGGCTGCTGACATTCAGTAGGGTGGAAAGCGGGAAGACACCCAGATAGAAAATGGCAGGTTGTGTAGGCTGGGGATACACCCCTTGGAAGAGCCCCCAAGAGTCATGCTAAGAAGAATGGGAGAGTTAACCTAGAGGGTTAACCTGCCTTACCTAGAGGCAGGGACTGGGAGAGACCAGACCCAGATGGACTCTCAAAGGAAGACACCACTCTACCCAGGTTACTGTACCAAGTGGGCAAGCTGGATTTTGAGTCTTATTTCAGACAGGTTGGAAGAACTGCGGCATGGAAGATCTGCCCTCGTCAAGAGTTCATGTGGGAGCAAACCCCACTCTTGGCTGCTGCAGCCCAGACCCCTGTTCCTGCCTGATTTCTCAGTGTCAGTAGAGAGACTCTACTCTTCCCTGGGGGCAGAGGGGTGAGGAGGATCCAGAGCTCACTACACTGAATAAAGTTTGACTCCCACAGTCTGACTTCCATGAAACCTGTACTTTGCTTTGGGGCCCAGGGCTGGTTGTGGGGTACCTGGCTGAGCCCCAGTGCCTTGCCACTCCCAGCGGTGGTAGGTGCTGGGCAGCACACCTGCTACCTTGAAAAATGACAGGGGGGAGAACAATCTGGGACCACAACGTGTAAAAACTGCAGAGAGGCAATTCTGGAAGCCAGAGACTAACACAGTCTGGCTTGGCCCGAGGTGGAACTCTCCCCCTGACACCCTCCTGGCCCTGCCTCTCAGCAGTATTTACTGAGTCCCCAGCTTCATGCAAGGTTCCATCCCAAGTGCTGAATACTGATGTGTGACCTTGCAATTTCCACCTGAAATACAAATTACTCTCAGATGAAGGGATGGATGATACATGTTAAAAGGAGAAAAGGGGCTACACCCAGAGTGTCAGTTCATACTCGGAGAATCTTGGCGCCTCACAGGAAGACAAGACCATCAACGCTCTACCCGTGTTTGGCAGACACGGCTGTCCCACACCCTGGTTGCACACAACACACCTGCCACCACAGCATTCGTTCCTCTGCGCAGAGGGGATTTGCTGGCCCCTGACTCTCACCTGTCAGCTCCCGGAGGGCAGAGGCCTGCGTGATCAGCCTATGATTCTCACAAGGTGTGGGGCATGCTGCTGGGCACCCAGGAGACACCCAGATGGGACAGTGTCCAGGCCATGACATATGGCATATTATTTCTTGTGCATTTAGTGGGTTCAGTAAATGTTTGTTAACGGATTAAATAATTGATAGGTAAAAAAATATACACAGACAGAGTTGAGTAGAGGGAAGTGAGAGAGGAGGGGGAGGGCCAGATAACGGGCCTGTGCGGGCTCCCAGCTGACCAGGTGGCCTCCCACCAGCCTTCCTCCCAAGGGCCTGACTCAGGCCCCTCCTCGTGTGCCCGCATCCTCCTGTCACTCACCAGTTGCTCTTCCAGGTGTGACGCACATGTGGGTCGTGAATGCCATGCTTGTCTGCCTGTTCGTCCAGAAAGTCAAACATGTACTTTATGGCCAGGGGCAGGGCGGAGCCACGGTGTGCTGTGCTGAAGATGGTCTCAAAGAGGTCATCTACAAACTTCTGCAGTGTGCCCTGGGGAGGGGGACATGGAGGGAGGACACGCAACTCTGAGGACAGGTTTTCAAACCTGCCTTGCAGAACAGGGCAGAGCAGGGGAGAGCGTACAGCCTGCCCTGCTTGGGGAAAATGGGGCAAGTCCACGTATTAAATCTTCCCCCTCCCTTCATCTGTCTCTAACAGCTTTAAACTTCCCCGCACATGGAAAATAGATCTAACACTGATGACTGGACCTGAGTAAGTCTTCCCCTGCCAGCAACACGGTTTGGTTTAACACCCTCTGGCGGTGTTATTTTAGCACTTTTCACTAATGCTAATGAACACTCCCTTGGTCGGATCAGACAAACACAATCTGCTGGTTTTGTTTGGGCATTATTCATACTGGCTAATGAACGGTTACTCATTTGGCTCTGTAGAGAGCAGAGCCGAGTGAGCCCAGACTCGGGAGTGGAAGACTGGAACTGTGGGCACTAAACGTCCCCAGAGCCAGGGTTAGAAATGGTACCTGTGTAGTCCCAGATGGACCCCCAACTTCTACCCCTTGAGACTGTATACATATGGTACCCCAGAGAAGTTGTAATCCTTCTGGAAGGCACAGTGGAAGAATGGGAAGAGACGCAGCT